GTTTTAACGTGTTTTTGGCGACATATGACACTGTTTAAATAGTTTACATATTGGAATGTTTAAACACCGTTTTATTCGTTTCGCTGTCTGCCTGGGTAAGCCTGAAGGATTTCGTCAATCGATCATTGTTGCAACAAAGTTTCGTAATAGCATGCCACCACATGGTGTCAATGATACTGGAGCCAGTCGTAAGCATATATTTGATGCAGTCGAAGCAAGTTTAAAGAGGCTGCAAACGAACTACATCGATCTATATCAAATTCATACACCCGATGAAGTGACATCATTACGTGAAATAATGCGTGCATTGAACGATCTAGTTCGACAAGGCAAAGTACATTACATTGGCTGTTCAAATTTTACTAGTTGGCAAATTCAAAAAGCAAATGATATTGCAGAGAAAGAAAACTTGGAAAAATTTGTTACACTTCAACAACAATATTCATTATTGTGTCGAAATATAGAATGGGATACAGTGGATGTATGTCGAAATGAAGGTCTTGGTATTTTACCTTGGTCACCACTGGCTGGCGGCTGGCTTTCTGGCAAATATGATCGATCAACAGAAAAGCCAGATGACAACTGACGGTTAGAAAAGACTTTTTTTTAAATCTTCATAGAAAAGTAACGCGTCTGTTTTCACATAGAGTATCATGGGCAGAGAAAGTAGGATGGTCAGAGACAAGCTGGTCAACTAAAACAGTGGAGCAGACATGGAATGTGCTTGATCAATTGCGAGCTATTGCCAAGGAGCTCAATGTTAGTGTTGCAGCTGTCGCTCTTCGTTGGATAATGCAACGTAATGGTGTCTCTTCGACTATCATTGGAGCGAAAACAATGGAACAATTCAATCAAAACATGCAGGCTGTTGATATTCATTTATCTGATGAGCAGATGGCACAATTGACAAAAGCATCGGATACTCCATTACCCTATCCATTCAATATTATTAAAATGGCCAATCAGCAAGACAGTGCATTAAAAAACCAATGAACTTTCATTTTAGGACAGTAAATTGACACATTTACGTAGATCGATCAATACTCTCCCTGTAATTACAGGCTAACAAACCATTAAATAGCTTCTTTTTTTTTCTTAAATTATGATTATATAATCAATGAAAAGTTTGTTTGATTCAAGTATTTAGAAATGAAGCCATTAAATCAGACCCATGTAAATATTTTTTGACTTAAAAACGCATCTGAAATGCGATTCGTTGCGTGTGAAATGCAAAGAAAAAACGCGAGAACCGCGTCCCCAGTGAAACATTTCTTGCGTCTAGTCGCGATCTATTTCAGAAACGCATCTGAACGCGTTCGTAATTTGGGTCGCGTTTGGACGCGATCTCGTTTCAAAACGCGGCTCCAGTGAAACAATTCTTGCGTCTAGACGCGGTTGTAATAACTGCGTCCAAACGCGTTCCAATTGAAATGGAAAAAATTAAAAAATAAAATATCAATTCATCTCAGATTCGAACTGAGTCGCCATCAACGTCATGTCGTGATGGTCTTAGCCTACTTTGGCGAATGAATTGAATTTTTACCTTAAACGATGAAGGTCAGAATTGAACAAGTGAACCATCGATCAGAAGTCGTGCATATACACCACTGAGCTATACTAGCTCGAAATGTTTTCTCGTTCAAGACGAAACCCAAGCAGACACTAAAATACATGCGATGCGTGCGATGAGTCCTCGAAAATGTGAACTATATATTTTTTATTCGTTCTGTTTCCATTCCAAGCCCATCGAAAACTATCGAATTCCGAACACTCGAAAATTGTCCTATCGAAAAGATGCAACCGACTCGTCGAAGAGCTATAGATATTTAGATAACTATCGAAATTTCGAGTACTCTGGAAAAAGAAACATCGAAAGAGCCGTATAGAGTTCTCTAACACAAGCAAGTGTAATATAATAACAGTTCCTAGTATAAAAGTCAGTTCAAATTTGATAAAAGCCATTCAAACAATATTTGCATATCTCTCTTTCATTCAA